TGGCTGTTGCCAGGATTTACATGCGATGATATATGAGAACACCTACCAGCATGTCTCACACATGTTTGGTACTTACTAAATGATACTAGAATCCGAATGATGATTCCTGCTATTTTGGTGAGGTTTGGGTAAAGAGACAGAAAGAAACAAAAAGACATTGAAAGCTCAGTAGCTCTGACATTGACCCCACGGTTGCTGGAAGTGGGGACATCTTTTATTTGTCTCTTTAATGGTTCAAAGTGTGGGCTGATGGAGACAAGCAGGCCAGACCTGGTTGGGGTCCTGTCTGCCCTGCATACTAGCTGTGTGCTCTTGAGCAAGTTACTTTACCCTCCTGGTCTCAGCTCCTCATTTGTAAAATTGGGGTGACAGGTAAAAATCATAGGGTTGCTGTGACGATTAAATGAGGTCCTGTGTTTTGACTTTTAATAATGAGATATTGCCTAAAAAGTAAGCACACAGTAGTAAATAGCTACTTTTACTATTTTCTCCACTGTTTTTATCATTGCTCTTATTATAGGCCTAAGAGAGTTCCTCAGGCATAGACCTTTGTGGGGAGGTAGACTTGGTCTACAGGTATGAGGATACCTTTTGTAGAGGAGATTTAGAAACTCTTTAAAACTATTTAGAATTGTACTTTCTTAGGTTAGAAAAGCAGCTAAAAGCATCTTCTTCTTCTGATATGCCTAAATGTTAGGTATAGAGTAATATGGAAATCAATAATAGAAAACTTGATTTAGTAGATATAGCATTTCCAGAAAAGTAGGTTAATTGTTCATCTTATACAATTGATTTGGGTGTGTTATAAACCATTCTATTCTTTCTGTCTCTTATTTCATCCTTTGAATTATTTCTGCCCATTTTTGAAATACTATTTATGTCCCTTATAGGTAAACCCATCTAATCACAGACTCCTGTTTGAAGTATTTGATGAAAACAGATTGGTAAGTGGGTCCTAATTTTTGATTTTTGCTTCATTTTTTAAAAACTGAATTTTTAGAGCAGCATCTTTAAAAGTCTGTATTTATGTTGTACTTCTGACAGTATATATGCTCTCCCAAAAGACTTATTTTTGTCCCATTACTAGTTTAATGTTCACAATTCTAACAAATACTTTTGTATGGCTAGGACAAAATTTATTTGTATATATGTATGTTTTTATCATAGTTAATATTCATGAAACACTGTTAATATATCAAATCACATACTTATGCTCTTCTGTTGGGAATACAGAATGGTAGGCAAATCTGTAAAGAGGCCATCATGCAGGAAAACAAACCTTTCAGGGTTTTTAAGTATAAGCCAGACTAGATTAATTGTGACACATTCAATAGTGAATCTATGGTGATTCTCTTCGAGAAACCAAAAATATAATTAACAGTATATAGCAAAAAGTGAATCTATATTTAGCAGGTAAAATTAAGCTGCATTTTAAAAGTGGTACTTGCTCAAGGGAAATTTGTAGAAGTACCTTTAAAGAACCGAAGATATGCCTGAGGCATAAAACTGATACAAACTAACATTTTCTATATAGATTGATAGATAGGTAGAGATTTAGATATATATCTCTATACATAACTAATATAACTTAGATTTCATTTTAGAAATGGAATTTCACAAGCAAATCTGGCTTAAAGCATTTTGCCAGATATAACTAACTAGAATGTATACATCAAGTACCCACGAGCCCAGTGTTCCAACTATGACAAAGAATATTATGATGTTATGTGTAAGCTTTCAAGGTACTCTCAGAAGTAGTATTATAACTCAGTGTAGTCATTTGTACTCAAATTTGCTTTCCCCTATTGTTTGGTTAAATGGAATGTTCTTATGAAACCTCCTTTCTGCAGAATGCAACTAAAACTCCGAGTTTTTGAATAGCTTGAGTTTAATAGAATATTTGATCTGGAAGAACCTTATAATACAACTAATTTAACTTCTTGTCTTTGCAAATGAGAGAACTGAAGTCTTAGAGCATACATAACTTAAACACGTCAGTCAGTGGAAGCGCCAGGGTGGACGCTGCTGGTCTCCTAAGTCTCAGGCCAGTGGTGGTGAATAGCCAGGCCTTTCACCCTTATTATAGAACTTGAGAGTGTATTTAATCTCCTGTGCTTGGTATTATTCTCCAAATTAGAAAGCCAACTGATTCTGGCCTACCATCCTGATATCTTTCTTATTAAAATATGTGGGTTCTTGGTGGCTTTGCATCGAACTCAACATTTTATACCTTAGGTGATAGTTAGTACTACTGAATAATTAAATTAAGATCATTTTTGCTGTGTGTCTGAAGTTATTTTCTTGTTAAATTGAATGAGAGATTCTGCTTAGGATGCAGCTTAACCCTCCATCTCCCATGCAATGAAGACTGTGAATTAGGCAGTGTTCAGTGGAGTAACATTAAGTCCCTGGAGAGACAGGCATCCACTGACTTATCCTTATCCTCTCACTTATTGAGTATACTAAGACTTCTTCAAGGTGAAGAAAGACACCAGTTTGAGGAAAAACTGCCTCTTGTCAGATGTGTTTTAATTCATTACTTAATTTTCTTCTATTAAGAGAAATTCACTGTTAAAAAAAATTGTTTCCCATTTCCATTATCTAAAACAATGACTGTTGTTGAGATGACCTTGCTGTGGGCCCTAAACTGTACTTCTGAACCAAAAAGGGCTTTGAATACAGAGCTCTAAGAAATCCTGTGTGAATACAGACTTTAACTGAAAAACTGTTTTATGATAGAAATATCTAGCTTTGCCCCAGGCCATCTGCAGTGTTGTGACTAGGCAGTGCATGCTGGTGGTGGTGTTTTTCTCTTTGTTGGCTATTAATCCAGCTAAGACAATACGTGACTGTAGTGGTCCTTGGCAGTTTTAGCACTAAACAAACTAGCTTCCATTTCTCTCATAGAGATCATTTTTGGCATTTAAAACACATGCCTTTAGAAACAGGTTTGGATGTCTGCAAACACAGGGTTAATCCTCCACACCCTCGACTCCAGAGCTGTTGACAGTGTCATGCTTTGCAGATTTTAAAATAAACCTTTTGACACTGTTTGCAGCTTGGTATTTTCCCCTCCTATTTTTTACTCCCTCCTAAATAAACCTCTTTGTGAAATAACGAATGTTTCTGGATCGTGGAAAATAGTAAGTTGAAAACACACAGAATATATCCAAGTTAAGTACAAATCCGATGACAGTTTTTTGAACGTGGACTTCTACTTTTATTTCTTAGGTAAAAAGGGCCAAAAAGGGGCCCATCACAAAATTAGCAAGATTCCATGTTTGTATCGCAGCTGTGTTAATATTGCTGACTTCTTCCTGGAAAACAGTCAGCTCTGGGGAGCTTTTTTTCTGCATGGTATTTAAGTTAACTTACTAGGAAAACCACATGCACACCCTTCTTCAGTTTTCCTTCCTTTTTATGGGGGGGGTGGTGGTAATTTTTTTTCTCCTATCTGGCATATGGGAGAGAATGTTTTCTCCAGCTGGGCTCCTTGTCTCTGGTACTTCCATGTCTGACAATCTTATTATGTGTGAGATCGCCTCATACACGCATCTTTTAAATGAAAAATATTGTAGTAGCAGAAGGCGGACAGCTAACTGGCCGTGCTGTAAGTTGTGCCCCCTCCACTTAGCTATTTTGTTACTTGAAGATCATGGTCTAATTATTTAGCATTAAAGGGACGCGAATTCTGTGGGGCGTGTAATCGTATTTATAGTACATTTTATTAGTTTGCATTCCAGCGTGGTAGTGTGGTGATATCATAAATAACAGAGAAACGTAACATCCGATGCCTGTGAAAGGGTTTTCCTGCAGCCTGGGCGTTTTTACTTGTCATTATTCGCTTCGGTGGGGGAGGCGGGGAAACACAGTGTGCTCGTGTGTTCCACGCCGGGCCTCTCGCATTGGTTAGAGAGCCCGGTGCCCTGCTTTGTTCGGAAAGCGCTGTCCTGTGAATGTGATGCGGTGTAGATTTATGGCAGCATGGCTCGGAGTGTGTTTGCTGCCTTAGTCAGCTGTGAGAGCTCCCTGCTGGGGCCACTCCTGTCTGATGGAAAAGCAGCAGCTGGGAAGGTGCTGTTTCAGGCTCTCGCTGTTTAAAAAAAAAAAAGGAGAGCGAGAGGGGGGAAAACTCCACTAAGTCCACAAGCTGGCATTGGAGGGGGAGACCGCGGTCATGTGGTTCTGGCCATCCTACCCTCTGTCACAGTGCGGATGAGAGCTTTTTGCTCTTATCCAATCATGCCTGGAATGCCGCTTGCCACTTGGGTTATTTCTGCTATCTGTCGCTCTTGGTGCCGCAGTGCTAACGGTTTGGCAGATGGGACACTTTTTCTTGGAGTTTGTGTCTTTGGTTTTTGACTTCTGGCAGCGCCGGGCTTGTTGTTGCCGCTCGCCCTCTCCCTCCCTGCCCCCCTGGGCACCATGGCCCATCGGCTTCGGTTTCATTTTGGCTCTGGTCGCAGCAACACAGCCCCCGAATCAGAGATCCTAGACCAGGAGAGAGAAGACGACTTTTTCATGGCATTCCACACCCTACCGCGGAGGAGCGGCCCTCACCCCTTCGCCCAGAACGGGGCGGAGGACGGCGGCGGGGGCCTGCAGGAAGGCGTGGGAGCGCTCAAGCGCAGCACGTCCATGTTCATCCCGCAGCTCCTGAGCCCCATCGACGCGCGCCCCACCCGGAGCTCGTCGGTGCAGATCTCGCTGCAGCGCAAGGCGGCCGACGGGGCCCCCGACGGGTGCGGGCCGCCCGAGGGCCTGGACGGCGACGCGGGGTCCACGTCTCGGGGCGGCTGCTCGGAGCCCCCGGAGCCCAAGACCCCCGAGAACTCCCCTTCGAGGGCAGCCAGGGCTCCGGGCCCCCAGGTCAATGGCACGTGCGGCCGCCGAGCGCGGTGCACCGTGGCTTCCGACGGCCGCGAGGAGGCCGAGCCGCCAGCCGCCCGGGGGCCCGAGGGTGGCGGGCTGCGGATCCAGCACCGCGCCTCCAGCGCCGACGTGCGCCAGGTGAGGCTGACGCCCTTCGGGGCCGACGGCCAGAGCGGCCCCTCGGCGCCGGAGCCCAGGCGCTGGTCCCTGCAGCACGTTCCAGATGCTTCTGGAAGTTCCGGGAAGCGGTGCTTTGTCTTCCAGTTGCAGCAGCCGCAGCCAGGTGCGCCGGGGCTGGCCGGCGACTTCAACTTCGGTTTTACCGGCACGAAGGGGGACAGGTTGGTGAGGTATCCCCGCATCCGGCTGGAGAGGAGCACCTCCTACCCGACGCAGCCCCGGGCGGAGCGCGGGAGCCCCACGGAGGAGCGAGGCCACCCGGGGCACCCGGAGACGCCACCTCGGGGCCGCAGGGTGGCCCCCGAAATCCACAGGGCGAATTCCGTGGAACGGACGCCACAGGGTCAGGGGTGCACATTTAAGATCAGGCAAGATCAAAACGCGGGGCAACAGCATTTCAGAATTCTTGTCACTCGGGGGCCAGAAGAAGCTCTCCAGAACCCCGAAGATAGTAACGTCACCAGCCCTGGTTCCACGGTGGCCGGGGCCCCGGTAAGTCAGCGTGCGTTACATGTGACGGCCGGTCGCCAGGACTGCTTCAAGCCCAGAAAGTTGATTCTGCAGCGTAATTAAAATAAACTTCATCCTCTTCCATTCTGGGAGTTTCCCTGCGTCGGGCCAGTGTAACTTAATGTTTGGCCGAGCTCTAGGACCGTGATTTGTGGTCCAGTGTTTGGGAGAGATCCATGAAAGCAGTGAGCATTTCAGAAAATTTCTTTTCTTTAGATCCTTGAAGTCAAGTAATTGTGTTTTGAAAATCCAGACATCCCCCCCTCATCCCCCCCCACCTTCTGAATAAAAGAATTTTAAAAATTTATTACTTTAAATGAATCTACCAGTGCCCCAACGTGTTGATGTTGGAAATGCATTTAAAAGCTGCTTGCAAATATAGTCTGTGACAACATTTTCTTTTAAAAATCATCAGTTCTGATAAGGGTGAAAGAATACTGCAAAATCTTGAGTCTAGTCTCTTAGTAATTATGTGTGGGTAGAGTTTGACCAATTCTTCCTAATGGTCTTTTTGCTGTAGAGGGTTGGCCCTTGTTATATAATTTATTGTTTTTGGTTTTTTTGTCCCATTGAGTAATATTGAGCAAGAGTAGTCACATTTGTGGAAGAGTGAGAAATGTGTTTTTGAAGCAGATTGGCTTATGGGCCAAGGCTAGGCGAAACTGATTGGGGACTTGTTAATGGTCAGATTGCATGGCCATGCAACTTAACACTGCCCACTTGAGTGTCTAAGCCGGGATGCTGTATATAGAATGGTAAGTGCCCTGTCTCCAGCTGTGGAAACAGATGCCCTAGAACAGATTTTGGCCTTTATTGCTCCTGTGTTCCTATTCTCTCCCTTTCAGTGAAATGGAGTACAGAAAGACAGCTGCTAACTCCACCAGGCAATTGATGACTCTGCAGCTTTCATAGTTTATAGTGGGAAGAACAGTTTTATCAGTTAGCTTTCTTTTACTAGTAACCACTAAGCCATTGGGTTCTTTTTTAAAGAACAAGCTCCTCATATTTTGAATGAATTTTTCCTGCATTTCCTGTGATTACTGGTTTGAGGATATGGTTATGAAATGTCTAGGGGACTTTTTGGGTTTCAGTTGTGAATTATGACTTCTCAAGGTGGATGGCTGAGTGTTAGTGTAGAGTTGTATCATCTTTTATTGCTTTGTGTTGAGAAATATTTTTGACCATTCAAGTAAACTTGATCACTGCTCCGTCATTGGTTTTTACTTTTTTGAAGATGTAATCAGATGGTAAATGCCAACGTTATATTTTTGTTGGTGTTATGTAACTGTTTCTTCTTCTTTTCCCTTCTGTAAACCCTTTTCTTTGATTATCTCTAACCCTTTTATTAGGAGATGTTTGAGTGCATTGTCTTGGTCTGAACCAATACTATTTTTATGCAGTGGTACAAATTTCAATAGAATTTTGGTGTTATGGTAGCTTCTAACCTTCACCCCACAAAAGTGCCACCACGACAGTTGTTGGGCAGCACAATTCCAGCTGAACTTGGACCACCTGCCACATGAAGATTAACAAACAAAAGGCATTTCCTAAAGTTTTGATAACTGTTCAGTTATATTCCCCAAAACTCAAGTCATTTTGCAGTTAGATGTCGAGGACAAATGGGTTTATGTAATTAAAGTCTTATTTGGCTTGAAGCTTCTAATGAAATTAGAAAACAAAGAGCATATACTAAAGATTATGTGTACTTTATGTACAAGGGATATCCTAACTTGCAAGGACTATTATAGTGGAAAATAAATTTCTTCAAATTTGGATATTTAAGTTCTAGAATAAAGAGCTTTTTTTGAGAATAAATTATCTACTGCACAGGAGTTTTCATTTTCATATGTGTATTTTTTTACACATAAATTAGTAAATCGTTGATAAGCTGGAGCTTTTTTTTTTTAAGTAAAAACTTTTTTCTTTAAGAAACAAAAACAAAACTTGTCGCATAACAAAACTGTCTGCTCCATTCAACACTTTGTACGTGTTTCAAACGGGCAGGGGTGTTAAGTGTAGGCAGCAGCTGCCACGGCCTTATTTATCTTGAGGGAAAACATTCGCTTGGGCGTCTACAGTCTGGCTGCCACCAAGCTTTTTTGACGTTTCAAATATCTACTGCTTTGGCCAGAAAGACATTTCATTATTGGTTTACATAAAAAATGAACTAAAAATCTATTACCGTCTGGTTTTTGAATGATGTCAAAAAATCTTTCCTATTTGGGAAAACCACTCAGGATTCCTTTTACAACTGTGCTTGTGTTTCATAATCTATGCCTTAGGCCTTACTGCAAGGTTAACTTGTTGAGTACTTTTCTCTGTCTGTGCCTCCCAAACATCGTGTCGTGAATAAATCTAAATGTGTCATCACTCCAAAAACTGTTAACCAGCTAGATTCCTGAAAAAAAATACGTGGGAACCCTTGTGGGTGTTCCACTAGGTCTGACACCCTCAATGAAATAGAATTGGTTCTTAGAGTCATCAGTTATAATATTTCAGCAGTCTTAGAACTTAGTCAATTTGTGGCATTATTAATAGTCCTTTAATGAATACCTTAGTTATTTTCTTAGTTTTTGAGTTATTTGGTTTGGTTATGAGCTTCTTAACTGCATTAGAGTTGTTCCGAGGACGTTGGATCACTGTTGGTCAACTTTTGTGCCCCCTTTAACGTGGTTTCATGCACAGTAACTGCTAGGCTCTGCATTTTACGAGCTTCGGGAGCCAGTTTCCAATCCCATTAATGTCAGTGAGTGTTTAAGGTCTGCTGTGTATATATAACATTACACTAGGTACTTGGAAAGTTTCAGGAACTGTCTCAGTTTCTTGCTGACAGAGAGCTTGTAACGTAAACAGAGAGGAGGGCCTGTGGGGGCAAAAACAGGTAGCCTAACACCCATTACATGCACTGCTAGGGAGGGGACTGCTCCTTCTTCACTTCCACCCCAGTTTCTCCGAACTTTTTCCTGTGCCCTCTCAATGGACATAGACTTCACAGAAGTAGTGTAGTGTAGTGATCTTTTGTGATTAAAAATTTTATCCTCCTAGACAACAGAGGAATACCCAAACTATTTTTATTGGGGGGGGGGGAGGATTTTAGTTTGAATCCCTTTTAGAGAAGGTGATTTTACTTTACAGAAAACTTTTAACATTAGTATTAGTTGATGTCTCTCTCTTACCCTAAAAAATAATTCTATGACTATCAGATCTATAAACCACTCCTTTTTTAAAAAATACAACAACGTTCTAATGCATAAGAGAAAAACTGGTATTCCTTTCGTTGACTTGGTTTCTGATTGGATTCTATAACGTTTTTTTCCCTGGGATATAGTAGTAATCTCTCTTAATGTGGTCATATACAAGAGTATTGCAATATTATATGACAAAATTTCAACTGTTTTTAGGGGTATTTTGAAATGTGTAGGCAGTCCACAGGGTCGACACCAATGTGTATTTTTCACGTAGGCACATAGGACTTGCCGTGGTGGCTCATGTTTCTATAGCACTACACCATTTGGCGAGTGCCTTCATTGATTTCACTTAGTCTCTGTAACTATCCTATTGCAGAAGTATTGTCTCGCTCAGCCTTCCCAACTATCATGTGGAATGGTGCTGTTTTACTGTTTCAGGTGAAGGTCTGTGATACTGTCTAGGTGTGATAACTAGTATACTATCATATCGTTTAGTGTATGTATAATGGGACTTTGAAAAATATGTATATCTTTGCACAATTAAAAAGCCTTTGTAGCCAAAAAGCAATTTAATACTTCCTGCGATGTGGCATTTTTGCTGAAAATTTTGGAGATGGTAACTCCATTTGGTGCCTTGCAGCACTGGCCTAATGGAGAGGAGGAAGATTTGGAGGCCCACAGAGCCAGGCTCAGCAGTTTACTGACATGTCCTGGGGGAGTTAGACCCCCCCTCTCTGAGCATACTCCCTCATCAGTAAAAAATGAGGATCCTCACAGGTTTATGGTGAGGTTTGAATGAGGCAGTGTATGTGGAAGTACCTGATTGGTGTTCATGTTGGGGTTTTTCCTTCTTAACCAGGTATCCATAATACATAGATTTTTCCCCAAGGAAGGTAATTAGGTTAACTGAACAGTCAGTTTTTGATCAGCATGGCGTTAGTCACAGGGCAACGTGAATTAAGGCACACCTGGAAACGTTTACTTTAATAACTAGTTTTGGTGTACTTTTTGCTGTCATCTCCTTTCCTGAGTCTTTGTCCGTTGGATAATCAGCATCACAGAGCCCTGACACCACCCTGTGATGATGCAGTCTTTGGAAGGACTTGGATTCATTCGTGAGCCATGTGTTGTAGAAAAGGACCTTTAATTGTATTTGCTGCATTGAATTTTGTTTGTTTATATATTTTGTGTGAGGAAGATCAGCCCTGTGCTAACATCTGCCAATCCTCCTCTTTTTTTGCTGAGGAAGACTGGCCCTGGGCTAACATCCGTGCCCATCTTCCTCCACTTTACATGGGACGCCGCCACAGCATGGCTTGCCAAGTGGTGCGTCAGTGCGCACCCGGGATCCGAACTGGCAAACCCCGGGCCGCCGCAGCAGAGCGTGTGCACTTAACCGCTTGCTCTCCCGGGCTGGCCCCTGCATTGAATTTTGAAACTTTGAAACCTTTATTTCAGCTGGCATTTCAGACATGTTATATTTTTACCGTGTCATTTTCCATAATGTTTCCAGTGGTTAAGTTTGCTTTTCCTTCTTATAGGCTGAGACTTTTGAGCAGCAATCTAAGGTTATCTGTACAAAATTTCCATATTGTGTGATTTACAAATGAGGGCAGTATCTGGGAATAGGTCTTATTAGATACTGCCTTTTAGAGGATGTTCATAAATGCTGCACTACTTCTCTTGGCTAAGCCTGGAGGCAGAGTTTCTAGGCATTGAAATAAATCTATAATTTTACAATACACGTAAGAAAATTGTTATCTCTGCGTAACAGTTCACAGTACCAGAAGAAAT